GGGGGGTGAAAAGGGTTTCTGCCCTGCAAAACTGAGTGGTGCCCTGCAGACCTCGTAGCAACGGTTTGTCTATAGGTTACTAGTGAAAGCTTTACCAGTGTACACTGGTCTTTACCAAGGACAAACTTCTAAGCAATAAAAACAAACTTGAAACTTCATTGCCTAAAAAATATCTATTTCTCTACGTGAGCGTAAATTGTTTTTATATATTCACTTCACTTAATGTTGGTTTGCAAAATTAAGCTAAAAAACAGCTAATTGGGGGGAGGGGGTACATGATGTAGACAGTGCAACGAAATTTAGCCCAGTGGGGCTAAGAATCAAGTTTAGTGAGATAGGAGGACCCACCATGGTTGGGTCCGACGTGAAGAAAATTTTTGAAATTATACCTTGTGAAAGGGCTAAAAAGCATCTTTCAGACAAAAATTTAGCAAAATACTATTGTGCTAAAAGAACTGATTGTTTATTGAAAATATTATTGTTTATTGGGAAAAATAGGTAGGGGGATGTCATGCTACAACTCTAGTATTAGACGCTGGGGAAGAAAAGGAACGGCAACCTTTCGTTTCAGATTGCACGTAGTTGTGAATGACAGAGGAAGATGTTGTTTTGATTGGGGGAATTTTATTTCCTGAACAGAAATGTGTAGTTTCTTGTATCGAGAAGGCCATGTTTACACATCCAAAATTAAAACATTGCAATGATACAGAAAGTGATTTACTGAATTAATGGAAATAAAAGAAAAATTAATAAACTGAACAACAACAAAACTCCAGGAATTGACAATATATCTGCCGAAATGGTAAAGTATGGCCCTTTGGCCCTGTCCAAAGCCTTCAAAAATACCCTGAATGAAGCCTTTGAAAAAGAAATAGAACTAGGAATGGGCGACGGCATACTTGTGTCCTTGCTGAAGCCTGGAAAAACCAAAGGCCCTGTCACCAACCTACGACCAGTGATATTACTCCCAATACTGAGAAAGATCTTGTCAAACAGTTCTATATCGCATCCAACCTAAGGTAGAACGATTCTTATCAGATTCACAAGCAGCATATCGACCGAGTCGCAGTACTCCAGATATAGTGTGGGCATACAAATGGATCAGTGCAAAGACACAAAAATCACAAATTAGAGTTTACATCACTAGCATAGATATGAGAAGCGCTTTTGATACAATCCGACGTGAACAGCTTGTTGATATTGCAAAGAAATTCCTCGTCGAAGATGAAGTAAGAATGATACAGTTGTTATTAAGCAATACAACTCTAGATGTGAGAATAAACAACGCCGAGACAGAGCCCTTCAGTAGCAATATGGGCTCACCACAAGGTGATGCGCTCAGCGGTGTACTGTTTAACATTTATTTTGAAGAATCACTCCGAAAAGTAAGGAATTTTAGACATGAGATTAAAAGTAAAGATCACGAAGAAAATGGTAACTGGTCTCCAACATTTCTACTTCAGGAAGCTATATACGCAGACGACGCTGATTTCCTCACAACTAGTGAATTGGAGAAGAATATCATCACAGAAAAAATTGGAGAAATTCTGCTTAGAGATAATTTGAAAGTAAACAACAGCAAAACAGAGCAAACAGAAATTTTTCGAGGAGACAGAAACACAGAGCGATGGAGGACAGTTAAAAAGCTAGGCTCTCTGTTAAGTGATACGGAAGATATACAAAGAAGAAAACAGTTGTCGATAGCATCCATGAATAGATTAAATCACATCTGGATCAGAAAAGACCACGTCAGCGAAAAACTTCGCCTCAAGCTTTACAGAACACTTGTAAAACCAGTTCTGATGTATAACAGCTCTACTTGGGGACTGACACAAAAAGATACAAAAGGTCTAGATGCTTTTCACAGACAGCAACTGAGACAGCTAATAGGAAAAAAGTATCCTAACAAGATCTCCAATCAGAACTTGTACAAAAGATGCGAAGAAGGACCAATTTCAATTGACATCCTCAATGGTAGATGGCGGCTGTTTGGTCACATATTACGTTTGTCCGACGATACACCGGCTGTGAAGGCAATGAGATTTTACTTTGAGGGATCGGAGAGGGGATTCAGAGGCAGACCTAGAGAAACTCTCGTGACAACCTTAAATAAAGATATCACCAGAGCAAGAGCAATGGAAAGGTCTTTTCCACTACCGAACATAAAGAACAATGGAGATTTTGAAAAGATACGATCCACAGCAAGGGACCGCAAAGAATGGAGAAGATTATCAGAAGTAGTGTGCAGAGCTGCAGAAGCAGAACAAACATGAAACCTTCATGTCGGGACTGCGTAACTGCAATTATATATATAATAAAAGAAAAATAATAAAAATATACGTGAAAAAGTTAGCAATTAGATGAAACAAAATCGGTATCTTAACGATTTATTATGTTTTTTAGTTCCTGCACTGTCAAAAAGTAATAGAAACAATTATAAGTGAGGGCCTTCAGCCTCTTATTCCCCTCCAGTGACGCCGTGCTTGTCATGAAAATAATTTACAACTTAAATTAATTTGCATGGACTCAACCTTGCCATCATAAACATATGCATCAATCATTGCATCCATTGGCTATGACTTTCGGTAAGAAATGCTTTCGCATTGCAAATAACGGAGCTTTTCCTTACATACCTGTTCCGTTCTCTAAAATGCATAACGGAGCATTTCCTTACATACCTGTTCCGTTCTTGGCGCCCTGCAAAATCTTCGATTGCCCTGCGAAATCGACTAATTTTTGGATTGGGGGGTGTTACACCCCCCCACACACCCCCCCGGTAGTTTCGTCCCTGCTAGCAGGCAACAACTTATTTTTTCTAACCAAAGATTTGATTAGTTGGGGTTTTAAAAAGTAATTTTCAAACTAGAGCTACTGGATATTCTAACAGGACATATCATATGATTCGGTATAATCCACGTATTGTTTACAGTACAAAAAAGGTTCTTCCATCCATTCAAAAGGATTGCGTTTCTACCACCCAAAAGAGTTATTTATAAATTTACGTGCCAGTGTGATTCTGGCTACCCAAAGATAGAATAAAACAGCATGTTCCGTCTAGTACTAGAAACAAAACTCATCCCCAAAGAGAACAACCCCCTCGGTCTTGCAGATTTTAAAGTACGACTAAAACTAAAACACGCGATTCTGCTATCGGGCAACATTTACTGGAAAACCCAGATTCTGCAAAAAAACTATAGTGGCGACATGTTTCGGAAAATTGGTAAAGCCCGATCGTCGTTCCATCTAGCAGTTTTGGAATTTATCTATATATGCACGAAAAAACCGCTATTATGAAGACAAAAGGAGTTCGTTTTCACCTTAGGTCTCCATTGGTAACATTCTCTATAGGCAAACAGCACTTATTGGGCAAGCTCAACAGTCATGTGCTCGAGTTTCTGATTGGCCTATTTCGATCCACAACTGGGTATATATATTTCTTAGCGTAGAGTTTTCGATCTATGTTCTGACGTTCTAAACTCTGAAGAGTGTAAGACGAAAAGATTTGGTATACTTAAATGTTTACTTGTTTCATGGCATTTTTAATTTTTGTACCACCAAAATATTTTTTCATATTTAGTGAATATTAACCCGTTTGGTTATGATTATATTTAGCCAAGTACTATGCACAAGACACAACTTTTGTTATATTTCAAGGGGTCTCAATCAACTGTGGGCCTAGGGCTCCAACAGATGTGAATGCGGTCCTGGCTTTTACATCTAATTCTCTTCGTTGTTTCGCAAGGAGACTGAATCGAGGAACGCTTTTTGTGGTACCTGTCGAAAAACGTGTTCTTGCATTGTGCGTGGTCCAGGATGCATTGTGTGTGGAGCAGGAAGCATTGTGCGTGGAGCAGGATGCATTGTTCGTGGAGCAGAATGCATTGTTGGTGGAGCAGGATGCATTGTGTGGGAGCAGGATGCATTGTGCGTGGAGCAGGTTATTGATTAATCCATTTGGTGGAACTCACCATACAAACGTTCCTCCGCTTCTCTGCTTGGCACTCTGTTTCCGCGCTCGAAAGTTTGTGGCTCTGGTACCCAGGGTAAATTCAGTATTGCTTTAATAGCTCTGGTACCCAGGGTAAATTCAGTATTGCTTTAATAGCTCTGGTACCCAGGGTAAATTCAGTAATGCGTTAATCGCTCTTATTGTGGTTGTACATGAAATACAGAACTATTAATAAAAGAGTTGTAAACGAACGATCTCACTAATCTTTATCTTTATGTTTATGATCTTGATTTTTGGTTTATGCTGTCTTAGGCCATCGATACAATGAAAACAAATCTGCTGTGTTTTTGTGCTTTTTTTCTCCAGCGAAATGAAAACTAACTAACTACAATACAGGGCATATACACATAAAACAAGGAATGTTACAGAAGATGCTACAAAAGTGTTGTAGATTACGTTGCTGTTGGTACGGAGACGATGAAAGGTGTTAATGGCTATGATAAAATGGAGGACATGATTACATTCGACAATGGTCACTGCAATGCTTCCTTTTTTCTTGAGGGGTTGGGGGGAAGGGGGGGTTAGAAGTTCTACCAAGTTTGCATTTGACTTGGTGATCAGCATTGTGCCATCGTAAAGCTTCATTTAAAGTAAATTAATGTACCAAACTTTCGTGCAACTTGCACTCTTTTTATAAGGAACTTCTTTATAAAAAACTTGCATGTAGTAGGCAGAAAAAATTAAAGAATCTTTTGTTTTAAGAACAAACAACCGAAGGAGCTTCTCATCTTTGGAATTTTTTATTCTTGCAAACAATCAAGTTAGGAAGCCGTTTCCATCCATTTTTGTGTAAAGATGGTAGCGATCGAAGGTTTCATTGTATAATTTCGAGTTTTACATTTTTTCTTTACTGAGTTTCCACTTTTCATACATGAAATGTCTTTCTAGTTTATTATCCGTTTTTCACCTTATTTGCCATCTACAGTTAAGAATCTAGCGACACTAACACAGAATTGTAATGGAGGAGGAGCAATTTTCGTAAATTAAGAAACTATTAAGGAACTTTTAGTACTACAATTCGATTAAAAAATCTAAAGATGAGGAACTTCGAGAACTAGGCCTCTAGCAAGGTTCTTCGTAAAGTAAAATGTATATTGGGTTTGGTTTGATTATAAAATTTCAGCACTTTGCTCCTCCTTGCTGATGGAGGGTGGAAAATATCATGCAGTTAGGTCTTTTATCTCATTAACGTTTTCCTTCTCTTCTTTTAGATCTACCTCCTTTACGTGACTACCCTTCGCTTCAAATTGATCAGCAAGTGTTTCCAATGTTTCCTTATTAGCTGTCTCAGGCAACTTCAGCAGCAGAATCGCACTTATGACAGCTAAACCGCCCATTATTGAAAACGGTAGAGCCACGTGGAAGGCGACGAGCCATTTTGCCACCCAAGGTGCTAGTGAAGAACCAATATGGGCAAAGATTTGCAAGTAGCCCATGGCTGCACTCCTGTCAAGGAATTCATATATTGAAGGTATTTGAATTTTTGCTTTATTAATTCAGTAGGTCAAGGTTGACAGAGGGAAATTATTTCCACAAGGGTGCTGCCAAATTGTATATATTGTGTATGTATCAAAAGCTCTAGATTTGATTAACGTTTCGGGATATGCTTCTTCACAATAACCTTCATTTACTTTCGGAGCGCAAAATAAGGAATACTAAACAAAAGAACAAAAATAGCACATTTTACAAGCAAAGATAATAATAGCTAATTTAACGACACAAGTAAAGTTTTTTTAGGTACAGCCGGAGATGTAATGTATTTATATATATAAATGTATATATATGTAGTATATATATATGTCAATATATATGTAATATATATATATATATATATATATTAATATATATCATAGATTGAAGAAAGTAAAACTCCGTCAGTCTCCTGAAGAGTGAGTTACTCACGAAACAGGCTTGTAGAGATAAACCATGTAGTTTTACTTTCTTCAATCTATGATATATCACGCTCTACGTGCTAACGTATTGAGCACTGTGCTACGGAAGTATCAAAAGACAAATTTCTATATATTAATATATATGTATTTGATCAAAGTCCAAGTCGAATCTAAATAATTTATTAAAGTAATAAGGCACCTATACTAATACACTTTGACTTGTTCAGAAGATAACTGGTATTTTTTATATATTGATATTCGTCTCCAATCTTCTATTTACCTTTTTCCAATTGGTTAAGTAATCGGAAAACTCAGTGACTTTCAATGAGTTTTCGCTATTTTTGCTGAAATTTTTGCCTAACAGGATTGATTTTTTTAATTAATCTTACCTTACGCAAGTCGGGTACATTTCGGTCGACCATATGTAAATGGAATCATGTGACAACGTGATGCAAAACCTTCCAAGCACTCCAAAGAAAACTCGAAGACTAACAAGTTCTGGATGAAAAAAGTTATGTCAATCCATGTACGAATCAATCGTATCAGAATCATTTAGTTTTGCATGAAAATGGTTTATCTTTCCCGTAACAGGTGTTGACTTTAAGAAGTGGGGTGATGTTTTCAAATAGTGATGTTGACGATGTCTTTAATGGTGCAGTACTGGAAGCTAATATAAGGCCGGACGTATTAGAAGTCCTGAATGGTGCAGAACTCTTCTAATTTAGGTCAAGGAAGATGAAGCACTTCTCGAGGTGTGAGCATGATTTTAAACCCATTAGACATAAAGAGGACACTGCTACAAAGTACCTAAGATGCTTCTTTGCTATGTTAGAATGTTTTGCTCAAACAAGCGACTTAATCCCCATTTGCATTGTTCCTTGGAAGCTTCAACGTAAAAAACTTTCTGTGCACACCTTTTCGTTTACACTAGCAAAATGCAATCAAGACAACTTTGCTGTGCTACCCTGAGCAGTTTTGATCCTGGTTCGAAAGCGAACGGATTTAGTATTTCCTAAATATTTTCTTAGAATTTGAACAAGGACATCACATGAAAATTAGAACGAAGACAGACAATGTTTGCAAAATAGTACCTTGACAACATTTACCCTATCTGGAATTGTACACTTTCATTTATATATTTATAGAGGCAAACTAAGTATGAGAATGGCTGCAGCTTGAAAATCTTTGTGAAAAACTTACCCGATGGTTTGCTCCCTGACTTTTTTGGAATCAAGGAGACAGCGATGCATGATATTCCGGCAATAAACATGGAAATAATTACTGTCTTCTTTCTTCCAATTCTACAAGATAAAGTACGTTCCTGTAGATTTGAAGTTTAGTGAGTTATCCAGGGATCATCGTCATTGACCCACTGCTGTTTATGTTATAATTAATAGTACAAGTTTCGATCCATTACTTTCCTTTAAGGCAAAATTCAGATCTTTCGACGGACGTATCTCAGCAATGTAAATGAATTTGCACATTTAGAGATATTTCCACTTTCAGATTGTATGGTCAAAAAACTTTTATATTGTTTTCATTAAGTCATACAACTTTGCTCTTTAGTGATGGATTTTGATAGGATGAGCGATATAAGTTCAAGGTTTCAATACTACGCCCCCCCCCCCCTAAAAAACAAGGCATAGCAGGAGCGGATCCAGACTATAGCAACTGTAGCTCGAGCTAGAGTCAAATTCTCAGTGTTTGATTTTCGAAATACAAAGTTTCCTTGCAGTCCCTAAAAATGTGTTTATGCCCACAAGTGTTTACTATCAACATTTGAAAGCAGCAGTATAGGTTATCAAATGGGATTAACAAACATAAAATGCTGGCAATGTGTCATCACAATGCCTCTCCAGATAAGATATAAAACACTGAGCGCAGAATGGTCTAATATTAAAACTTAGACGAATCAGAAGTTTTTTTCTTTGTTGACAGTAACCAACCAGAATTGAGCTACAGTGGATATTCCGAGCTATAGTCGGTCTGGGAATTTGCTCTGGAAAAGACATCGAAGACAATGAAACCCGTACCATAATTTTTGGCGCGAGCTATAGTGAAGCTATAGTCAGATTTGAAAATGGCCTTTTAACCAATAGAATATGAGTATCCACGGTACTTCTTCGCTCTCTGTCCCCTGTAAATCAACAGTGGACTATAGCTCATTTTCACATCCTGGGTCCCCTGTAATGTAGCTTCAAAGGCAAGGACCTACTAGGGAATAGACAGGGACGGCGGAACGACCAAGCGGCAAGGGGGGGGGGGCAGACGCGAGTAAAAGGGCTTTTGAAAAATAAGTCTCAGCTTCTAAAAATTCATACGTAACTGCAATTTTATTTCGATCTTTTGTAGGTATCTTCAACATTGGCTAACTTTCGGCATATAGAACTATTTCACATGTTTTGAGAAGTTCAGAATTTTATATGAATCTCTCTGATTATTACAATTGGCCAGTTTCAAGGGAACTTTGTTAAAAACAACCCTTGCCCCTTCTGTCAAAGGGCAACAGGGGCGGTTGTACCCCCACACCCCCTTCTCTGCCGTCCCTGGAATTAGAAAAAGGATGTTCGAAGGAATATTTATGAATACAAAACAACTATAAACACACATGGTTATATCATTTGCCCATAAAGTGGGCGTGTCCCACAAGCAAGGAGGGCGTGGTCCTGATCCCAAAAGATTTGAGCTATAGTCACCAAAAATCCTGGATCCGCCCCTGCATAGAACGAAGTAACTCACTTATTGCAAAGGTATATTGCAAGAACAGCAGCCGGTATGTCAAATAAGCTGGTAATGATGTAGTCCCTGTGTATGTGGCCGCTTAAATCACCGGCGCCAAATGAAACTCCAAAGAACACCAAGCCACACACCATCCTGAAAAACAGTAAACTATGTGTAGTTAAAATTTGCAGCAAAACTGCAGTGGTGAGTTACTTCTTCTTCACGTACACAATCACACAAGAACCCTTAGCTAATTGGCTAACTAACAAACTTTTCCACATTTCAAAAGAATTGACACGCACTGAAATCTTCCTTCACGTTTTGTAAAGTTGGCTAAACTGTGTCTGTCTCTCTCTGGTAATTAGTGACAAACCCCATCATCAATCACCATCTGTCAACAGCTATTGTATCTACCAACGACTCCACTTTATCTTTTAGAATCACAAACAAGTATTTACACACCATGTATATCCTTGGAGTAAGCTCCTTACTGCGATTTTTGCAGGCTTGAATAGGTGAAGATAATGTTTTATTCCGCTGGAACAGTTTTCTTCAATCTTCTTTAGTTGAACTTCTGGTAGCTCTTTTCCATTACACTTAGCGATCTTTCGAAAGATTGCAAGAGCCTCGTCATTTCTTCCATTCACGTGAAGCCATCTAGCTGATTCGGGAATGGCCCTTGCAAGAAAATAAGGATAGTCTATGAGAATTAACAGTCTGATAGTCTATCCAATATTGACTGGCCATGCAAAAACAGCTGAGGCAAAAAATATCGCAGACAACAAAGGTTTTTCAAGAAACCTTCAAAAAATATTGTTCCACAACTCTCCCTTCTTTCTGCAGCCAGTTTCTTTGTATCGACATCAAAAGATATTATTTAAAAATTTAAAGAGTTAAATCAATTGCTTCTGGATTAAACAGTCTTGGTGTGGCTTTGTTGTTCCATGTAGCCTGCGTGCAGACTCTACTGTTTTCAACTAGGCTCCTCAGTTTCTACCTTTCCGCTGAGTTGAGTTGAATTAAATCGCTCGCAAGTGACTTTAAAGTCATTTTGAGGACTGGGACCAAATCAAATGTTCTAAAAATAGCTTTTAACTGAATTTTTGGGCTTGAGTTTGTTTTGCATTTTATTCTACACTTTAAAGTAAATAAGTTGTGAAGTTTCATGCTGGTATCATATTCTGCACGATTGTTGTGCCTTGAGTGCTGGATGGTATCTTAGTAGCAAATGGAACCCTTTCCTTCCTTCCCTAGTCTTTGGTTTTACTATCCGAATTATCAAGAAGATATATATATAAATATATTCCTTTGCTATATGCAATATTTGATTTTAATTGTTCTCTCTCTAATCTACGTACTGAACTAAGCTTTTGTTCTAAAACTGAAAAGTGGCCCAGTCCTATTCCAGGTTTAATATATATGAACTGCGTACACCCTAAAATCAAAATAGAAAACCAATACAAAAAATGGTCGGTTGAAACTTCAAACATCACACTCAGTACTCTAACAGAGATCGGCAATGCACGTGCTATCTTTGCTTAGGACCTAAGCTTAATATTGTGCTAATCCACACGGTCAAGAAAAAGAAGGATCCCTGACAATGAATAAGAAAATTTCATGGATTAAACTTACAAGAAAAACAGCAAGATGAAAAAATATGGAGCTGTGATGACTATCATCAATGTTTTCCACGTCTGAACGAAGATGGCTATAACACCAAGGATGACAACGCTTACTGCAGATATTAGCCAAATTGCTATACCCGCAAATGGACGCCATTTTGGGCCTACAAATTCTGAAATTAGAACGATTGACTGTATAAAAGTTCCTGGTATGAAGAACCCAAACACTGCTCGTGCAAAAATGTAGAACCAAATACTTGGAGAGAACGAGCTGATGAACCCAAACAAAAGGATAAAAGTTGTCGATATCAGCATATTGATTCTTCTACCATACCTAAAAACAAGATCCAAGTTTTAAGCAAAATGTTCAACATTGACAGCGATAATGAAAAGGGCTGGCGCAGTATTGGAAACACAGAATAGAACAATAGGACTGAATGGCTGGGCCACTCCTTCTTTTGGGGACACTCTTAAGAGAATAATTTGGCACACCTTATATTGCCACAGGATTTCCTTCGTTTTAAATTTATTTTACGCTTATCAAGCACGAGAAAAAGTGTCGTTAGAGAAACAAAGCAGACATCGTGAAACCGCTGATGTTTCTATACATTTTATTACGATCAATAGGTCATCAGATTCATTGTGGACCGAAAATGATTCAGTTTTCCAATCACTTACCTATCTGACGCCCAACCAAGAACGACTGCTCCAAATGCCCAGCTGATAAAAACTGAAGATGTGGCCAAGTAACTGTATACTTCAGTGTCGCAGTGCAAATCGAACTGAAATAAACGTTCATTTTAAATTTGAAGTATAGAGTAAAACCCCGTTTGTAAGTGCCAGCATTTTCGGTTAACCCTATCTAGACCAAGCTCTTTTGAGCATCCTCAGGCTAATTCAGCCCCCCCCCCGTCATTTTTCCAGACTGGTTAGCAGTAGAGGGTTAAGATTTCTATACGATTATACCCATCAAAATATCATGACGTCATAATGAAATTTTAAATCTTATCAATTTTTTTTATATTTAGCAAAAAAATCTTTAAGATTCACTTAAGATATCACAGAAACGTAATTTAATGTAGGTTTCGCGAAAGCTAAACAAAACAGCTTATCATAAACAATGATGTCACTAAAGAAACAAGATTTTTTGCGCAAGTCTAGATACAGGTCTCATGCCTTCCTATATCCCACTCAGAAGCACAGGATGAATCAAAACAAATCAAATATCATTTAATAAGTAAAAGCTTACTTTCCTCATGTTGGCAATTTCTAAAGATAGTTTTTGAGTTTTTTAACAACGGCAAAATGTTTCTTACGATTAAAATTGTAATGATTACATTTGGCAAGGTAGCCAATGATTTGACGTTGTCTAAAGAGAACTCTTTTAAAATCTTTTTGCCATGGCAA